CAGCGGCCCCAGCGAGCCGGGAGGCGGGGATCCCGGCCGACGCGAAGGCGGGCGGAGGAAGCCTCAGCTCCTCGCTGGCCCGCGCCCCGCCGTAGGGTGCGCGCGCAGCCTGCCAGATCAGCGGCGGGGTCTGGACCATACCAATCTACTAACCGGGGGATGCCGTGCACCAGAGCCCTTCTCCCCGTTACCTGCCTGCTCTCTCCACAGCCACGTCACCCCAGCACAGCACAAAAACTTAATCACAAATGATCATGAATAGGTGAAGCTGATCGACGCCCTCAGGTCACCGAGATGCCCATCGTGTCTGCACCCACTTCCCCCCTCACCCGTCACTTTCCCAAGGCGGCATTTCTGGCCCGTACACAAAACGGTCTGCACGTTCCCGAGGGCCCCGCCCAGGCCCCGCCCCCTGCTCCACTTCCTCCCGCCCTTCCCGAGACGCCTACCTCTACCTGGCGATTCTCCTGGACTCCGACTAGCCCGCTGCGTGGATCCCCCCGCCTTTTCTCCACTGGCAGACTTTAGTTTCTCGAGCACTTCATCTGCTTCCTTAACTCACCTGCCACGCCTTCAGATGCGTGCTGGCAGGTCAAGCAGGGTTGGAAAGTGGCCTGGCGGTTCCTTAGACCTGCCCCCAGTTATTTGATCTCACTCAACCTTCGTTGTTCAAGCAGAAAAGACGAAACTTAATTTCTATTTAAAAGGTTGTTGCGAAACCTAAGTCATGATACTTTCTCAATAGCACCTGCCACTCACTTGGCATCTGGAGATTGTAACATAATTATAATAATAGCCATCATTATTAGCAATTAGTTTTCTTTTTTTAAAAAAATCATTATTATTAGTTTAACTACAAAAGGAGCCCTAATAATACCTAGTGGTCATAAATATTCAGTACATTTCAGGAGAAATACAGATTCTTCTTTAACTTTAGCTACATCAGGGTCTTCACGAAAACCTCTGGAAAGAAAATCAGTGTAGGGGAGGTAAAAAGAACTCAATTCTAACTTGTTCCTCGTTGTTCCTTTTCCCACCCCTTTACTTATTTAAACATAGAACCTGTATGTATGTTATTATCTTAAAACACTGTAGAAAATGGAAAACACACAAAGTTTAAGTGAAATCAGAGTGCTTTGAAAATGGAAGTCTTGCATGGTTTGCTGTGGCACTGGAAAGAATCTTAGCATCCTCTAGCCAGCAGCCCCACTACAGAGACTCCCACTACAGACTTCTCCTGGGACTCCATTGGCTCAGACCACCCCGGTATTGCATAGCACCATTTAGCCTTCATTTACAATCAAACCTAAGAAATAACCGTGTTTGTTGACATCGATTACTCTGCTTGGGCCTTATTTGTAAAGTTGAGAAGTCATTTCAGATTCAAAATTGTTGTTCATTAGCAAGTCATTCATTCATTCATTTGTTCAATATTCAAGTCAAAAGTATTTTACTGAGCACCCACTCTATGTCACTGCTAGGCACAGGGGTACATAGAGACATAATGCAATGGCAGCCTTTAGAGAAATCACAATCTATTTGTGATATGGACACATAGAGAAGTACACTGAGGCATTAGGCAACAGGGAGCCGTGGGTATACATGGGCAGGGTAGTCAACCCTGTCTAGCCAAGGCAGAAAAGTCCCTGAGACTCTTATCTCTAATCAACCAACAAAAAAGCTAGAAATGTGGCTGCAGTGGCAAAGCATTTAGTCTTGAGGGGGGAAAAAAGGCTGAGATTTTCTGCTCTTAGCCTCCTCAGCAACTATGATTATGGGTATGAGCCCCTGAAACCCTGGTATAGACTAATATACTTCTGAAGCAATCCAGGCAGTCAAATTCAATCAAAAAACTAATTAGTAATAAGGGCATAGAAGAAGGGATACATTCAAGAAACTAGGATAGCAGGACTTGACAACTGATTGCATGTAGAAGATAAAGAGAAAAACTCAAGGATCACTCTAACACTGTGTTAGCTATCCATCAGAATAAGAAATACCTGAGACGATTGCTTTATAAAGAGAAAAATGTTGCTTTGCCTCACTTTTGTGAAGACAAACATTGGTCTGTGACTGATTGACAACATTGCTTTGAATATGTGGTGAAGTATCATGGGGGAAGCATGTGATGGAAGAAAACTGCTCAACTCACAAACCAAGAAGAAAAGAAGAAAAAAAAGATCCCGGGGGGCTGGGAAGGTGGCTCAGTGGTAGAGCACTTGCCTTGCATGCCTGAAGCCCTGGATTCGATTCCTCAGCACCACATAAGCAAAAAGAAAAAAGCCAGAAGTGGCGCTATGGCTCAAGTGGTAGAGCTCTAGCCTTGAGCTGAAGAGCTGAGGGACAGCGCCCAAGCCCAGAGTTCAGACCCTACGACCAGACCCCCCCCCAAAAAAAGAAAGATCCCAGGGTGCCAGAGTCCCCTTTGCCCTCAGTTACCTAAACTTCCACCTCTTAGAGCCTCCACTACCTCTTTATAGCACTACCCTGGATACCAAGTCTTTGGGCCACATTCAACATCTAAACGATAGCCAGCATAGAACAATATTTAGATTACAAATGTGGAAAGAATCCTATTAGGAATAATATGGAGTAGTAGAAAGCTATAGCCAAGGATGGATCTCTAAGTCCCCAATAATGAAAGCTCCAATTATCCTGCTAGAATTTAGAGGGAAGCTTGTCAGCTGAGCTCAAAGTATGCAACGTGGAAAGGAGGCTCAAGGAGGGTAGCAGAATTTGTGGATAAGACATTAAGAAATACAAGAATTGAAAAATAAAATTTAAAAACCAGTTACAACATTACGGAAGCTCTTGTCAAGGTTGGAGGTCATGAATTGATAGTGATGGAGTCTATTTGGTTATATGATTCTTCTCCATCAAAATGTAAGCACTTGGTGGAAATATTACAATGAAATCCCTCCTCCCCATATAACTAATGTATGCTAATAAATTCAACCATTCAGACATACATTTAAAAAAAATACCAATCCAAAACACCAATCCAAATTTAGAGTTTTTTAATGAAGGATATACAGAAGGAGACTAACGAATGGGATCAGTAAGAGAATAATTAACTCATCATAGATTCCAGACAGTGAGCTGGAAAAGGTTAGGAAAGAATGAAAGACTAAAAGAAAATGACTGATTAAAGAAAAGGAGATGTCTTTGAGGTTAAAAGAGTTGTAATGAGATTGAGTGTGGAAAAAAAAAACAACAAACCAAGCAGTTTTTTTGTTATGATGAGAGTTGAGCTGTTTCAGAAATGAAACAGTTTGCTGGCTGATGACATTGTATCAGGACTTAATATCATTTGTATTAATGAAAGCAAGAGACATTGCACTTGAGATATGGACAGATACTAAAGGGACCAAGAGAAATGTAACAATAGTACCAGGAGCCAAGTGCCTGTGGCTTCAGCAATTAGATGGGAAGATTTTTAGGTGCTAAATAACAAGATTGTACATCCTCTGAATCTAGGTCAGAATCAAGTTCTTCTATCGTACTAATGTAGTAGTTCATGCTTATAATCCTAGCTACTCAGGAGACTGAGATCTGATAATCATGATTCAAAGCCAGCCCAAGCAGATAAATCAGAGTTCCTCTTATCTTCAGTTAACCAGGAAAATGTCTGAAATGGTGATGTAGCTCAAGTGGTAGAGCTTCAGCCTTCAGCAAAAGAGCTAAGCATAAATGCAAAGCCCTGTGTTCAAGTTCCAGTACCAGCATCAATAATAACAACAACAACAATTGTTACAACTTGATCTCCAAGAACTACATAATAGAGTGACTAGAGTCAAACAGACCAGTATTAGATTCTGACTCTACCTCATTTGACCTTGGTAAAGGTACTAGAATTTCTGAGTTGATTTCATCATTTTGTAAAATAGGGAGGTAATAATAATACTTCCTATACAGATGTTAATATGACCTACATCAGATAAGAAACTAAAGTGCCAGTGGCTCAAAGGCCAATGAGCCCAGGCAGGAAAGTCCATGTGATTCTTATCTCCAATTAGCCAGCAAAAAGTCAGAAGTGATGGTGTGGTTTAAATGGTTGTGCACCAGTCTTGAGTGGAAAAAGCTAATGGACAGCACCCAGATCCTGAGTTCAAGTCCCAGTACCGGCACAAAAATGAAAAAGAAAAGAAATGACTTGTGTCCACTGTAGAAAACTACATTAGCACAAGGCTTGGTGCATGGTCCTTGCCTGTAACACTAGATAGTCAAGAGGTTGAGACTAGAGGATTATGGTTTCAGGACATCCCATGGGAAGAAAGTTCAAAATACCCTATCTAATCACACACACACATACACACACACACACACACACACACACACACACGCACACACAAAATGGGGCATGGTGGCCCACACTTGTCATCCAAGCTACACAGAAAGCATAAATAGACCTTCAGTCTAGGAAAAAGTCAAAACCCTATTTGAAAAACCATACATGAAAAAAGGGCCGAGTAGATGGCTCACATGGTACAGTATCTTCCTAGCAAGCACAAGGCCATGAGTTTAAGCTCTAGAATCATGGGAGGAAGAACGAAAGAACTTACATCCACAGTAATGCCAGGCAAGGGAATATCTTTAGAATGCCTAGTATCAAGCAGGCAGTTGAACGTGATGGTGCTGGCCTGTGTTCCAAGCACTTGGGAGGCAGAG